TTTTCCCTTAGAAGTTGTAGGACCTTGACAAAGGTTAGAGTTGTCATTTACATCAGTACAAACAGCAGTGTCTCCCTAAAAGGGACAGTATGTCAAACAGTATATTTTACCTGTATATATACATACTTGTACTACTTTACAAAAACTGAGTAGTGCATTAAATTCTTCATCCTTTAGCCTTTCAGATAAAGCCAATAAAATATTTTTGAAAGGACTGCAAAAGAGTTTTGGGATTAACAAAGAGGAAAAGCAGCAGGCAAAAGAGAGTCTTTATTATGAAGGGGAAGGGGGTGGCAGATAAGGAATGATGGATATTCCTGGCTTCTGCAGAGAATGGAATGATTCAAAATTGCAAGAGAGAGATAGAGAGAGAGAGTCATAATAAAGAGGAGAGAGAAACAGTCAGAGAGTACTCAGAAAGACTTTCACAATAAGTCCAAAGCCAAGTTATTTTTATCTGAGGGCCTTGTCTTATTACTATAAGGTACGTAGGACAATTGATAATAGGCAGTGAATTAGCAGTCACACAGCAATTTTCTCAGTAGTCCAAAAATTTGAATACTGAAAAAATTTAATCACATTCAATATTTATAGTAAATTATATTATTTTATTGTAATATGAATCAGCTAGTGATGTTTTGCATCAATTTACACTGCTTATATTACATTCCCTTAAGATAAGACTCGTTCCCGGACCCTATGTAAACACAAATGCTTCGTCACTCAACTATCCCAAATTATTTCATAAAGTTACTTTTCTTTCGCTTGTAACAATAAAGTTACTTAACTATGACTATTGCACTCAGAAGGTCACTTAACTAGATTTTCCAAATTTTTGATTGTCAAATGCCTATTTTACCCTCTAAATTATCAATGAGTTGAGTGACCTTCTGAGTGCTATAGGCATAGTTAAGTGACTTTGTTATTACAAACGAAAGAAAAGTGACTTTAATAAATAATTTGAGATAGTTGAGTGATAGGTTAAGTTGAAATAGTACTGCTTAAACAATGGTTGATAAAAGTATATACAAAAAACATATACTATTATATATTCATTGATTTAATATAAACATCTAAACTTGTTTTTTTAATCTAAAAGCTTGTCTTAATTTATTAGTACCATATTGTTTGATAACAGAGGTGTTTGAGATAGTATGCATGCATCACGACTATTCCCATCAATAACCATCATAAATATTGGGTAACCAGCAAAACATAGTCAAAAGAAAAAAGAATTATCTAGCGAGATATAAATAATATCAAAATTTTGGTATAAAGTGTATATTATATTAATAATTAATTTTGTGATAAATATAATCTCAATTTTTGTATCGAGATAGTTAAAAGTCTAATATCAATAACCAAACCATCCCTAAGAGGACAATTGATTGGTACTAGGGAGTACTCGATCACAGGCAGCAATTTTACTCTATAGGCCATACAGGACTCACCACTCTATATCTTGGGCAATTGAATATTGACTTTATTTGAAATAAATTTATTCTGAATTTGACATGGATTGTGTTTCTATCCTAGATGGTTTTGGGATTGTTGAATTCAGTGTTCCAAGAATTTGACAATAGGGAGGATTAGGGGCGGATCCAATGTAATGGTCTGAGTTCATTTGAATTAAAAGGTGGAGTCAGGATTTGAAGCTTATGTGTTTGAAATTTTAGTTCATTTAAGTTATTGAGTTCTAAAATAATAATTTGTACATATTTCATGAATTTCCCTAGACAAATACGGAATCTGCACAAAAGCTACTGGGTTCGGCTAAACCAGTAAGCAGAGGGCTAGCTCCGCCCCTGATTGAATCCAGTACTTTTAATGTGGTGCATAATTTTATATGTAAAATAATATTAAAGTAGTAACAATTCGGGTTCGAGCTTAAAAGTCCTGCTTTTGGAAGCACTCTCTATATCAAATGTGAACGATCAATTCATAGGACTTAAACCCTAGACTTATTTTGGTTCTGCTCATCTCAATTTGCCTTTTAAAAAAAAAAAAACAATAATGATAATTATATTTTCTGCTCTTACAAAAGGAGAATAGAAATTGTGAGGATTGAGATTTAAGTTAGGGAACAGAATAGGTAAGTAGGATAGGGAAGACCTGAGTAGCCGAAAGGTTAAGTTTCCAGGTTTAGGTTAGGTTAGATTAGAGCAAAAAGAATGGAATGAGATAAAACTTTAATTTGCAGCAGATCTGAAACTGAATATCCATATCTTGATTCTTGAATGCGTGCTTTAGCCAGTTTGACAAGATATATAATACTTGCCAGATCCAATATCCATCTTGATTCTTGAAGTAATTCTTTTCTTCACTTTAGTTACTCTTCTCTTCCTCTTTCAATCGTACCTCTACTTTAAAGAATTTGATAGTTGTTGTATTTGACCTTAACTTTTTCTTCTTTTCTTTCTTTTATTGATTTTCTATCGAATGCCAATCGTAGACCCCAAGTAAATTGCAGTAGAAATGGCATGGGGTAGCCACTATTTAAAGTGGTATTTACTTTTTATCCAGCATTTTTAATCTTTAGCAATAGTAATCACTAGTCTATTAAAATTAATATGAAAAGACTGTGTTACCCTTTCTTCTATCTCTTTCATGTGTTAGGGAGAACTGTGCCGCCATCTGTTGAGGTTTCAAATAGATCTCCTGCTTTTAACTTTTCGTCATGAGCTTATTAATTACAGAAACAAATTTTATGCTACTGCTAATTAACACAATTGCTGGGAATTATAAAGTACATTAGAAGATGGAAAAGACTGTTATATGGATCAAAAGGCTAATGTTTCAATATAATATTAATTGTAATCATACATTGTCGAAAAGAAGCTAACCAAGCTAGCTCATAATAAAATAAATCTGAGTTTGGAATTAGGATGATCTCTTGGAGGTACATATTTATGGAATTACTTTATAGCATCATTCTACCTTGTTAAATATTGTACATTATTATCCTTATTGTGTGTTTGCATTTAATTTATTTTGTGTTAAAATAAATTAAAAGTTAAGGACAGTAGGTCCTGAACTTAGGCTAAGAAGCCCAAAAGTTAAGGACAGACAGTCCTTAACTTACAGTTACAAGTTCAAAAGTTAAGGACAATAGGTCCTTAACTTTGATTTCCAAGTTCAAAAGTTAAGGACAGACAGTCCTTAACTTACAGTTACATGTTCAAAAGTTAAGGACAAACAGTCCTTAACTTACAGTTACAAGTTCAAAAGTTAAGGATAGACAGTCCTTAACTTACAGTTAGACGTTCAAAAGTTAAGGACAAGCAGGATTTAACTTACAGTTACAAGTTCAAAAGTTAAGGACAATAGGTCCTTAACTTTGACTTACGTCAAAAGTTAAGGACGCTTGGTCTTGAAGTTTGAGTTCCAAGTTCAAAAGTTAAGGACATGTAGCCTTGAAGTCCTGAACTTAGAGTTCCAAGATCAAAAGTTAAGGACATGTAGTCCTGAACTTAGAGTTACAGGTTTAAAAGTTAAGGACATGTAGTCTTGAAGTCCTGAACTTAGAGTTTCGAGTTCAAAAGTTAAGGACATGTAGTCCTGAGGTCCTGAAGTTAAGGACATGGGCAGAAGAGTATTTTCGTCTGGGCAGTTAAAGTTTATTAAACCAGTGGCTAAAGACTAAAGACATTTAAAATACTGGCTTTAAAATAAGACAGGAGCTGTTAGTGGCTATTTGTGTACATCGCCCTAAATTGCATGCATCACCCAAGGCTCATTGAAGCGCATTCTTGAAAAATGTCAATTTTCCAACTACCATTTTCATCGAAAATCACTTCTTTCCGACGGACTTTAGACAAAAATGAAGTGGTCGGAATATTGATGGTTGTAAAATATTTTCGACCAAAATAGCTGGAAATTTGCGACAAAATAGTCGCAAAGAAGAAAAACCGGGTGACCGGTTAAATTCAAGTTTTGTGACTATTTTTGCCGGTAAGTTTGCGACCGAATCTCTCGCACATTTAAAAATAAATATTACTAATATTTTTGACAGTTTCTGATGATCGGCTATAATTACGTATTTTAGTTGCTTATTACACTCTAATTTACTGTACTTTAATTGAGTTTGAGCTTTAATCGCTAGTGTTTTGCATTAATTGTGTGTTTTTGCCTTGTAGGAGTGATTCCGAGCCATGTAGATGTCATGGAATGAATTCAAGTGATTTGGAGCTTTGAAGTCTGAGTAAAAGCCGAAGGAATTAAGCCAGGATCGTGTTCAGGGATCAACGGATGATAGTTAAGAACGAACGAAGAATCGAGTAGGCATATTGCGCACTGTCTAGTAAAATACACACAACTTTTCACTCAGAACTCCATTTGGGCTCCACAATATATGGTTGGAAAGCTAATTCAAAGGGCTACAAATTTCATTTTTACGTTTTTCCAAATTCCCAACAGAACAGGGTAAAAAGTGCACGAAAAGCGCGCGGTTGCGCACTGACTGCGCTAATGGGGCAAAAAGTGTGAAATGTGCGCGGCCAAGTGCGCGGGCACACTTCCAGGTGCGCGGTCGCGCACGTCCTGTCCGAAAAAAGTGTCCTTTTTCGCGTAAAAGAAGGTATAATTGTTTGGGCCCGACCCTACTTGGTATATATACATGGAAAAACAATATTCTGAGGACTTTTGACTGATATTAGACCCGGGATTCGACCTAAGAAGGCAAGAACACACTAGGAGCAAGGCGGAGAATTTTTCTACGAGTTTATCACTTCCTTCTTCCTATTTCCAGTATTGGTTATGAATTCTAGTATTGTAGTTTTGCATACTATTATGAATAGCTAATTTGTTATCTAGGGTTTTGATGAAACCTATTGGAGGATGATTTTCCTGTTATGTTAATATAGATTTTTTTTTATTGATAAAACTAACATTTTATTTCATCAAAAACTGTCACTACACATCCAGATTAATGCTGACCATTAATCTCCTATATCTATTTACATGTACTTTCGACTAACACTATGTCATATATACTAACTATTCTAAGGAAAATTGTTTAAGCTCTCCAATTTCTTTTGCCATTTTGCTTTTTTCCTCCCGTGAATGTGTATGTGTATAGCCATTTCCTTGCATACTTCATCTATATTGTATCTGCCTTTGTTGAATCTAATCAAATTCCTTTCGCGCCAAATGCAATAGACAACCATCGCAAATGTTGCTGTAGTTACTTCTGCTTTCCAGTTTTTGCTTCTTGACTGATTGTTGATCCACAGTATCTCATTCTGCCAGCTTCCTATCTGCCTTGTGAATCCAAGCCATCTCAACATTCTGTCCCATAAGCTATTTGTTTTTGGACAACCAAAATACAAGTGATCAAAATCTTCCATGCTAGCTGAACAGAACACACAGTCTAGTGGAACTTGTATTTCAAAAGTCATGAGCCTGTCCACTGTTGCTAACCTTTGATGAATAGCCAGCCACAGGTGGAATTTGAATCTAGGATGAACATGTGTGCGTAGATGGAGACTTTTCCACATAACTTTTGGCAATGTAGGCTGCATCTGAACATAAGCTTTGTGAATTTGAAATTTGCCCTGTCTTGTTAGTGTCTCCAATGTGGCTGTAATATGCTGTCCCATTCATCTGCTTCACATCCTCTCTTGCCTCAATAATTTTCCTAATCACCCAAGCTGCTGCTTTGGGTACTTCCATTTCCACGATATCCCTATTCTTTATATAATAAGTATGAGCCCATTTGATCCACATTACATCCTTTTTCATAGCCAATGCCCAAAAGTGCTTCATCAGTGCTGCTTTATTCCATAGTCCCATGTTTATAATATTAAGACCTCCTGCAGCTTTAGGTTGACATAGTTTGTCCCATGCAATCAAAGCTTTCCTTGAGCATTCTGTTGAGCCAGTCCACAGAAAAGTTCTACAGATTGCTTCTATCATTTTCATGATCTTCTTTGGCAATAAGAAAATTTGAGCCCAATATGTTTGTATACCAAACAACACAGACTTGATCAACTGGAGTCTTCCTGAGTATGAAAGCAATCTAGCTGACCAGCATCTTACTCTTTCAGTGATCCTTTCTACCAGTGGCAAACATTGATGGATGTTCAGCTTCCTTGTCGACATTGGCACTCCTAGATACTTAAAGGGTAAGGACCCTTCTGTATATCCAGTATGTTCTAGCAAGTGTTCCTTTATGTGCTATGCCACTCCAGTAAAATATATTGAGCTTTTTTCTGCATTTGCTTGCAATCTAGAAGCAGCTGAAAATTTATTGAAAGCCTCCTGAATTTTAGTAATTGAGTTAACATCACCCCTGCAAAACATTAACAAATCGTCAGCAAAACATATGTGAGTTGCTCCCAGCTTCTTGCTCTTTGGATGGAACTTGAATTCCTTTTGAGTTTCCAATTGTTTCATCTCCCTTTGTAGATATTCCATGGCAATCACAAAAAGGTAAGGGGACATTGGATCTCCTTGTCTTATTCCTCTCTTAGCTGGGAAAGGTTTGGTCAATCCTCCATTTAGTACCAAGGAATAGGACACTGTTGTCACACATTCCATTATCCATAGAATGAATTTCTGGGGGAAGCCAAGGTCAGCAAGCATGTATTTGAGGAACTGCCAGTCTAAGGAATCATAGGCTTTCCTTAGGTCCACTTTGAGCACACATCTAGGAGACAAACCTTTCCTATTATAGCCATTGAAGAGTTCATGACTAAATAGGATATTATCAATAATACTTCTCCCTTCAATAAAAGCAGACTGTGCTTTCCCTATTATGGATTCAATCACCCTTTTAATTCTTTTAGTCAGAATCTTTGCTACAATTTTGTACACAGTAGTGCAGCAAGCAATGGGTCTGTAGTCTTTCACTGTTGTAGGAGCTGGCACTTTTGGGATCAAGGTTATAGCAGTACAGTTCCATGCTGGTTTCATCTTGCCTGTTTGGAAGAAGAATTTCACAGCATCATATATATCCTGTCTGATTTCCTGCCAATGTTTTGTAAAGAATTCTATTGGGAAGCCATCAACTCCAGGGGCTTTATCATTTAGCATGTCTTTCATTGCTTTATCAATTTTTGCATATGTGATTTCCTGAATTAGATCCTGCTGTTGTTGCAATGAGAGGCAGTTTCCATCTTTGATGACTTTAGTATTTGGGCATGGCTTTAGACCAGTCTCTTTCCCCATAAGTTGTTTGAAGAAGCATATGAGTTCCTCCTCTACAGCTTTAGGGTCAGTGATTTTAGCTCCCATTTCATTGTATACAGAAGTAATGGTATTCTTGCTGGCTCTGATCTTCAGTTGTGTATAAAAGTATTTGGAATTTGAGTCCCCATAGTCAATTCAATTTACTCTAGCCTTCTGTCGTAGGATTCTTTCCTCTATAGTACTCCACTTTTCTAGATCCTGGAGAGTTTGCTTTTCCTGATCTATCCAAACCTGATTAAAGGGATCCAATATCAGGTTTGCCTGTGTACATTCCAGCTTCTGTCTGATTTGGGTCAATCTCTGAGTATATCTTGCCATCTCCTTGTTCAAGCTTCTAGTCTTTCCTTTCAGTTTTTGTAACTTCAGCCATATACCAGCCATAGGATCATTCCCCATCTTCTGCTTCCAAATCCTTTCTACAGCAGGTTTAAAATCCTTATGCTCCATAGTTACCATATACAATTTGAATGGTTTGGGGTGCAAGCTCCTTCTTTCCCATATTTGGATCACTAAAGGTGAGTGATCAGATACCCCAGGCTCCAAACAATCAACTTCCACATGCCCATACACTTTAGTCCATTCAAAATTCCCAAATTCCCAATCTATCTAACTATACACTCTATCATCTGCACTTTGCTTGTTACACCAAGTAAAGAAACAACCCTTTGTTCTCAGTGGGGTCATTTGCATATTGTCCATACACTCCTTAAATTCCTGTACTTCATTCATAGTGACTGGTTGCCCTAACCTATCATCAGTGGTTAGGACATTGTTGAAGTCACCACTTATGAGCCAAGGCATTTGTACTTGTCCCCCTAATTGCTGTACATCATTCCATAGTCTATCCCTTTCATGCTGTTTGTTCCTGGCATACACTACAGTAAGCAAAATCCAATATCCAGTCACAGTGTCCATCACTAGGCAGTGGATGAATTGTTCATGAACATGGATTATGTTTACTGTTAAATTTGTTCTCCAAACTAGCCATATTCTTCCATTCTCAGCTTCAGTGTAGTTATAGCAGTAACCCCAGTCCTTTTCTACCTTATACAGAATATTTTTTGCCTTTTTTTCTTTTACTCTAGTTTCTAGACATCCAAGGATATCAATCTTATTCTTTTGCAGAAAGATTCTCAGTTCCTTCTGCTTATGGGGCTTGTTCAGCCCCCTTATGTTCCAAGTACAGATTATCATGGTGGTTTATGTATAGGATCAGAGTTGCTCACCCCTCCATGTACAATACATTCTTCCAAAATTGTAAATCTGTTGGAAGTACTAGCTTCATCATTTCTCACCTGTTTTTCTGCTATAGTCTGCCTTTCAGTTTTGTCCTTTCTTTGTATCATCATACTTTTTTGTGGCTCATCTTCTGAACTCTACCTATCTTTGGTAGCTGGAGGATATGTTTTATTTTCCTCTCCTTGTCCCTCCTCCTGTCCCTGCTGTGGTTTAGGCTTCCATTCCTGAATGACTTTCCTTCCCCTGCCCCTATTTCTTCTTTTTGGAACCTTGAATTCTACATCCTCCTTCTGTTTAGTTGAGTTCCAGCATTCAAAACTGTCATGACCAAAGTGTAAGCAATCATTGCAGAACTTTGGCCTCCATTCATACACTATCTCCTGTTGTCTGGTTTCAGTGGGGGTAATATCTCAATCTCCTCCACTAATGGCTTTGTAATATCAACTTTCACCAGCACCCGAGCATAGGAGATTTTGTTCAATTCAGCTGTGAACTTATCTGTATACAATGGTAATCTAACTGCACTTGCCATCTTGCTTAGTGCATCAGCAGTCCAGTATCAGCTGATAAACTAGGTAAGTGAATCCACAAGGGGATAGTAGTAATGCATTTGGGATCTAAGTGAAAATCTCTCTCCCAGTTCTGTAAGATAAACGGTTTATTATGGTATGAATAGGGACCAGCTTGCATAACTGCATCTTTATCCTCCATCATTGTGAATCGAAACACATAATATCCATCTTGATGATACAAGATTTGAGGTTTAGTAACAAAATCCCAGACTGATTCAACATAACTCTCCATAGATTTCTCATATGGAGTGTCCCCAAGTACATATCCAATTAAAGCAGTTGCCCAATGTTCCTGTAGCTCATTTACATCGTTTTCCTCAATTTGAATGACAATCTTACCATCTCTATGGCCTGACTGAATGTACTCCAGCTTCATTCCCATCTGAGAGTTCTGATTTTGCTTCCTCATCTCCTTTGCCATCTCTGTCTTATCTGTTAGATCTAGATCTAGGGATGGCTGTGAAGATCCCGCCTCAGAGAATTGAAGTCGTTTTGGACTGGTTGGCAGTTGTTCCTTAGATTTCTGAGCTTCCTTTGCAGTCACAGCAATTTTACTGTTCCATTGCATACTATTTCCTTCTTCATCCTCACTTAGCTCCTTTTCTTCTAGAATTGATTGGAATTTAGGTGGTAGAAAGCTTCCAAACGTTAATGGAGTGAAATTTTGCATTTTTGAGTTCACCAGAGTTGTGCCCTTAGTCGCCGGCGTTACTGGTTTGCGTCTCCTTGCCATCGTTGGTGCACGTTAGCTCCCTTGGCTAATCATGCACCGCCCGACTCTTCCATTGTGCCATACTTAGCAAATGTGTTAATATAGATTTGCCGTAGCTTTTCTCTATTTGTTCAACTACGTTTATATTGTGGTTGGTTGAAGAGCTCTCAATCGACTGTGCCTATTTAGTGTGTATTACTCGGGAGAGAGTGCATATTTAGGTAGTTGTTGAACAACATCACTCCTAACATATATGAGGGATCAATATAAAGGGTTTAAAGGTGGGATTAGGGATAACGAAACCTTGGTGCGATCCGAGTGAACCGTACTTAATGCCAGCTTGCGTTATTCGGGAGAATATGTCTAGTAAATTATGGTAGTTACTCGAGAGAGAATTACAACACTCGGAGCGCTCATGATCAGTAGAGAAAACTTAGGCAAATTTATAGAAAACGTAGCGGAAAGGATTCTGACAATAGGGGAAATCATAACTCCAGACCTCCTTAATCTTGTCTCCAATCCTTATCCTTGTTAATTGATAGTTTTACTCCTTTCTAGTATTTGTTAGTTAATTAGATAAAAATAAATATTATAATCTTTATAATTAGGAAATTATTTGGACTTGTGTTTCTTAGCGATATTGAACAACTGTAACTAAGCCTTAGTTCTCTGTGGGATTCGACTCCAGAGTTGTAAACTGGATTATATTTGCAACGATCGTTTAGTCTTTCTTATAAGGAATAGTTGGGCGTGATAAAACTTTAGCGCCGTTGCCGGGGAACTAACGGTGTAGCTGTAGGTGTACATATTTCTAGGTTGCAAGTTTGAACTTTTATTTTTGTTTTTTTTGTATTTGATTATTATTTTTTTTAATTTTTAATTTTTGATATGAGAGACATGGCATCTTGGAATTATGAGAGTTTTGATGTTGGTAATTCTACTTTTTATCCTCCTTATGCATATAGTGGAGGAAACCACCCATGGCAAAATTATTAAAATATTCCCGAGAGCGAGTTATGTGCACCATCTCAATCTTATGTGTGGAATGTGTGTGATATGTGTGGTGGTCAAGATGGCCACTTTCATGGGTGTGCTTATATATATATATATATATATATATATATATATATATATATATATATATATATATATATATGTATATTCCTCCAA